GAAAATGCAGGTTTCAGGGTTAACTCCCTTTTCGTACATTCAGCAAAAACCAGGACGAGAATTTATATAGCTTATTCTACCTGAAAAGACAGACCCAAACCAATAGGGCAATTTTTTAATCACCCCCAGCTGAGCATCAGTACATCCCCTCCAGGGTTTTCAGACATTCTACCAGTAACCAGTATCTCCAAGATGTATAACATACACGTATATTTGAACCCTGAATGTATCTGTGCCTCATGACTTAAAAATCAGAATTTTTTCGCCAACCATATCCATAGAAAGAGAGTCCTCAGCCCTTCTACTCCTGCTGCCAAGGACACAGTGCATACAGAGCCCAAAAGCAGGAACACATATCCAGGACTTTGAGGAAGAAAGGAAAGATCAGCAAAAAATGAATGTGTATCCCACATGCACATCTTGAAGAAAGCTATTACAAACAATCAATCTCTCTTTCTTTGCCCATTCTTACTACAGGCAACTCCCAGCACCTACCCCAAGTGTGAATTTAGGTGGCAACCTCCATGTGCTGCATGCAACCAGTGACCACAGGAAAAAAATTATATCGAATGCTGTATCAATCCTTAAAGGCTCAGAAACAGCTCTGAAGGTATGGATGAAGCTCAAGGCAGCAGCAAATAGGTGTCCAGAAGACATCTTTCTCTTGTTCTTGAAGCTCGTTGCCTTAATCTTGCGTTATCCAAGATGGCACAGGAGGAAACCCCTTCTTGGCTAAACTACCAGGAGAGATGTGTAGGTCACAGGAGAGCAAGGAGGGAGCAGACCCAGACGCTGTCCCCAGCATTGAAGACTCTAGCTCTTGCTTTTTACCTCCTCTGTTCTGTATCCACAATGTTCCTCTCCCCGACTCCTGTACACTCTTTTCTTCTGTGGGCCTTTCTTGATTTTAGTATTTTCCCTTCATCCCACTGCTATTGCCAGTCACTACAGGAGCCATGTGCACTGCCAGGGCTAAAACTCTATCTTCCATGTTTACTCCACCTGCCTGCTAGATGTCTGCACCAGTGTCCCTACCAATGCTCTTTAGCTTTCACAATCAGATATTTTCTAACCACGAATTTCTAATCCCCATCCTGAATTTTCTAATGCTCTGTGCGGGTCTAATTGAGAGGAAATTTCTTTACTGATTTATTTCTAAGCACAGCTGAAGGCCACAAAAATCTTCCAGGCAGGCCAAGATGGTACAGATTATAATCTAAAGGGGCTCAAGCCATATGAACTTTTTTTTCTTCTAATAATCAATCCAAAGCCCAGAGTTCAAAATATAGGTCAGATTTTGACAAAAATGTTTGTTCATCTGAGAGACATATATAGATGAGAGAGATTAATCCAAGAAAGAGCCCAAATGATGACAGGATGTCATTGTGTTCCTTATCTTTTATAAAATATATCAGCTGTCACATATGATGCAAGCTTTAATTCTTTTAAATGTACATAAGTATGTCTTTTAATCAGATATCCTGGCTCAGGAATATGTAAGCCATTCAGTTATGATAAAAAGAAGATGAGAAGGAAGAATGATTGTCCTGGTTTCAGCTGGGATAGAGTTAATTTTCTTCCTAGTAGCTGGTCCAGTGCTGTGTTTTGGATTTAGCATGAGAATAATGTTGGTAACACACTGATGTTTCAGTTGTTGCTAAGCAGTGTTTATACTAAGTCAAGGACTTTTCAGCTTCCCATGCTCTACCGACTGAGCAGGCTGGAGGGGCACAAGAAGCTGGGAGGGGGCACAGCCAGGACAGCTGACCCCAACTGGCCAGAGGGACATTCCATACCATGGGACGTCATGCTCAGTATGGAAACTGGGGGGAGTTGCCCGGGGGGCAGTGACCGCTGCTTGGGGACTGGCTGGGCATCGGTCAGCGGGTGGTGAGCAATTGCATCACTTGGTTGTTTTTTTTTTCTTTTTTCCCCCTGGGTTTTTGTTTCTCTCTCTTTTTCTCTCTTCTTGTTTTACTTTCCATTACAGTTTATTATTATTATTATCATTATTATCATTACTATTATTATTATTCTGTTATTTCAAGTATTAAACTGTTTTTATCTCAACCCACGAGTTTTCTCACTTTTACCCTTCCGATTCTCTCCCCCACCCCACCGGCGGGG